TTTTATGGGATCAGGAAAGAGAAACTTCCACTAACTCGGTCAATTTTATTTTCTTTTTTCTTGAATTTTATAACGTCCCATATTGGGTGTATAAGTGTATCTGTAGGAGTTTAAAACATCTTGACTAGATGTAGCAAAGAGCAATTTTATTCTACTGCGTCAAAAGGAAGCACTCCTTTTTATTTTTATGGGATCAGGAAAGAGAAACTTCCACTAATTTGGTCAATTTTATTTTCTTTTTTCTTGAATTTTATTACGTTTTATGGGATCAGGAAAGAGAAACTTCCACTAACTCGGTCAATTTTATTTTCTTTTTTCTTGAATTTTATAACGTACCATATTGGGTGTATAAGTGTATTTGTAGGAGTTTAAAACGTCTTGAGTTGGACTAATCAGCCGTTGCTTTTAAGGTTTTAAGTTAGATGCTTGGAATCTTTCATATGGTATCATAATCAATCTTTAGTAAGTCAATTCTCACACTAGTATGTATTAAAATTCATGTGAAATTCAAAATCCGGTTACAAGTGGAGAAGGGTGTTGCGTCATATAATGTCTCACACTATAATATCCTTACATGAGGTACCTAAGGGTATCTAGAGAGATTTTTAATTGTCTTGTGTAGTTGTGTTTGACTACTTCATCTATTACCTTAATTTCCGGTAAGATACTCATCTTTTCACATATTTAGTTCTAAATTTTTATATTTGATACTTGTTTATTTTTATTATTCTATGCTTTTTATTTTTATTATTTATTTTATTTTATATAATGTTGGACTGACATAAGTTTAAATGGAGCGACATGGAAAATGAAGGTTAATACAGCCGACCCTGCCTTTCTTGGGATTAAGACATAGTTATTTATGTTATCTAGCTTAGAGAACACAACTAACTTAGGATTGAAGCATGGTTCATTGATTGATTGATTGATTTTCTGATATTCAGTTTAACTCCCATTATCTGTTGAGTAGTATCTCATGTTTATATTGATACTCTAGTGGAGAAAATCAAAACCGTTTTCGGTGTCTGAGTTGGCCTATTTGGGTTAAACATATTGAATTTAGCAATTGAGGCCATCATCGATCCCTTTTTTGCAGATCGACAGACATAAGCATTTGGTTCCTAAAATTACAGATTTGGCAGGAAAAGATTTGCTTGGAAAGAATGGATCAACACCTAAGGTTGCTATCATTAGTTCTTTATCCAGAACTCTAGCTCAGTGGCGCCAACCGAAGAAATATGACGTTTAGATAAGATCCTAACAGTGGTAAATTATGTGATTCTTTTGCTCCCTTGGTGGTAGTGACCAAGGAATTGCAGGACCAATTTTTTTTGGGTTATGTATCCCTGATCTAAGGGCACTTCATTGGTATAGGTTGTAAGTGTAAGGTTTATTGTTTCTGGCTATTAAATTCATCACTTCATTCTTCACACTCGGGCCTTACCATGCTTGGGCTGGTTTTTTGTAATTGTAATGTTATTTGTAATTTGATGTCCATTTCAATGTTAGCTTAACATGTTCTGGTGCTGTATTTGATTGGTTGACCAGTTAGACGGTGGCAAATGATCGGTCTTATTGTTTCTGGGTATTAAATTCATCACTTTATTCTTCACATACAGACCTCCCATGCTTGGGTTGGTTTTTGCAATTGTAATGTTATTTGTAATTTTAGCTTAAGATGTTTCTCTGACATATTGGATGGCTGAACAAGATAAATCTGTCGTAGTAGATTCTATGTGTATTCGCTTATTCGGTTTGAATTTGTATTATTTCGATTTTGATTCTTTTGGTTTGTAAAATATGCGAGTTAATACGAATCGAAAGAAGAAAAAACACTCATTTTACATGCATATAAAAATACGGCAGCTATGCTTCTTGGTAATGTGCTGAATAAGATGCCAAAGATCAAAGTTCCTCTTGAAGAATCTTTAGACTATATCAGTTTGTATTGAACTATTGATGATCGCAGATACTGTGTAGGCTTCACATACAGAAAACTATTCAATTAGGATTTCATTTCCAGTGCCTGTTTTCTGGTGAAGCGTTACCTTTCCAATTGGTGTCTTTTGCTTGATGCAAAAAGAGTTATCATGACAGTAAATAACATCTCACCAAGGTTAAGTAATATTATTGGAAACTTTAGGGGATTATGTTAGTAGAAGCTTGAAAAGAAGATTGGATTTTCAGATTGAACTAGAGAAGCATGGGCATAATTTGGCTTTTGCTGGTGGCCGAAATGAATTGATAATTGCTTGCTTTGTTTGACAAGAACATGACCTGTTTCAAGCTAAAATGTCCTAAACAAGTGTGTAGTATAAGTTGTCGATCTTATTCTATGGCAAAGCTTATACTCAACCAAATCCAGTAGCAACAGTTAAAATGATTTTTGACATTTCCTTTTGGGCTCTCCATTACAATGAACTCCAACATGGATTCCTCTAAGGCATATGAGGGCATGGAAAATTGGAAATAACAATTAATGAATGCCGAGGTACATACACCAACGGACATGACAAATTGGGTTTCAAATCCATGGAAAGCTGATTAAAAATAGAAGGCCCACAGTACAAACTGAAATAGGGAAAGCCAGCACTGCAGAGATTGAGCATTAGAAGATGGGAACACGCCAACACGGCAAATTGTAACCGGATAAATATTTTCCTATCAATCCATGGAAGTAATCATTTTTCCAGATCTCCGATGCAGAAGTCATCAATCATTTCAAATACTCGTGTAGCATGCTGCGGCCTGCAACATGAATGTGACCGTGATTTTTATGGTTAATAAAATCCAACTATTTAGATGATACAACAGCCAAGAATGAAACTTCGAAAAATAAGGCAATGGCGGGAACTGAGAACCACAAACAGAATAGGATCAAGTATGCTCGACGATTACATATTTAAGACAAGCTCTTATAAAACAAAAAGAATTGGATTACCAGAGGGACACTAAAGCAAAAAGACAAATATGGACATTTTTATTTGTAACCATTTATCTCCTCTGGCATTTCCATCTGTAACTGAAATTGTGAAAGAAACATATTTGACAAAGACTTACCCATAGAAACCTTCAGTTGAATCATCGCCAGCATGATCTAAGATGGCATCACCCCCTGGATGTTCTTCAACATATGAGGTAACATCATACACCTAAAGACAGAAAAAGCAACGAAGAAAACCTATTAGGAAATTAACATTAAAAGGAAAGGTTAATGTTAATACAAGCGTAAGTAATACTTTATGTGGTCAAGTAGAAATCTAATAAAACCTTTTCTTTGATAATGATCCAGCAGTCAGTCCTCTTGTTATGTAGCGCAACTTCAGCTTTGTTATATGTTTTGAATGCCTTCAGTTCAAAAAGAACACATCCAAAAAGAAAGAAAAAGAAAAGGAATCAGCAGAATAAGAGAAAAAGGAAAATTGAAAGATATGAAGATATTATACAAGTGCTGGTGCACAAACAATATGCAATTATAAGATCAGCCAGTTATGAAGCTTTGTGCAGTTGCCTAGCAAATACTTCGATAGCGAGAAACAACAATGAATAATTGTTTCAAACACCACCACCCAATTTGTTGTTCTCCGTCCTTTTACCATTTCCTTAAGCACTCACCCCCGCCAAACCAAACAAAACGCCACAAACAAGGTTTAGGAATAAAACATGTATCTCAAGGAAAGGAGGAAAAAAACAGTTCAAGCAGTGTGTCGCCTATCATCTATATAGAGATAAACCTAGTACACGAGGAGTAAAGTACAAAGTTCACCACTACAACTGATATATTCATGCGTTTTACAAAAAAAGGAACGTACAACTTTTGTGATATATCCATGCGTTTTATCCATTTTTGTAAATAAACGGGAGTAATTTGAGATGTCACACCATTAACAACAGTCTCTGCGTCTTTGTCTTCTCACAATGTTAGAATCACCCATCAGTTAATTGTACGGCCTATAGTCTCAGTCTCCTAATATGATCTTAGGAAATCATTATCATTTGAGCTAGCTTTTGAAAATTGAGCAAGCCAATATCCATTTTCTTATCATGGTATCAGAGTTAGATCCATCCCTAATGTGGGGCCGTCCACATTATCTTTCTCTAACTTTAGACGTCCCGTCCGGGGCATGCCAGGGGTATTAGAATAGTATATGAGTGGCAATCTCCTTTATATGGTCTTGGGTATTCCTCATTGTTTGAGTTGGTTTTTCAGGTTGAGTTAGTCCAAAGATCGAATTTTTATTACACACAATAAGAATCAGTACAACTATTATTTTACAACCATAGTTATTAAGGGAGCAATGCATCAATAATATATTACCTAATTTAACAACAAAAATAATTCATCATAGACCAAATCAGACAACCAAAAATGTTTTACTTAACTATAAATTAAAGTACCTGGTTCTGAGCATTTGAGGCAACCTTTTCAGGCTGATCTGTATAGTAAAACACAAATGACAGTAATCAAACATCAATTCTGGATATAAAAACACTTGAAAGTTGAAACCCACATAGATTCATAGAAAAACAAATTATAATAGCTGTTACAGAATTGGATAAAGCTTACCAGATTTACTGCGGAGTCGAGGTATTGCAATGAGTACAGCTAGTAAAATACCCAATAATATTGTCGCCAATGTAACATCCATTTCTCAAATTTAGCTCTATTCGTTGAATAATGGAGCAAAGCGATTAGAAAAAGAAAAGCGGAGCTTGATTCTTGAATTTCCGGCGAAACTTTTAGAAGTTAGATTCGCCTGAGATTGGACTGTTGTTGACAGTATCTTATCGCCCGGGTTTGGCTGGACGGGTTTGGGTGATGGATCGGGTTGTTGGACTTAAATTACATTTATTTATTAGGGTTGAAATTTGAAAAAGAAGTATGCTTTTATTTTTGAAATTATAGTTAGAAATAAATTTGTGAAAATTCAAATTTGTGTTTGGATATAAAAAAGAAAGGCAGTCTGATGCACAATGCATTCCGAATTCATTCAGGGTCCGGGGAAGGGCCGTACCCTTAAGATTAAGGGTGTGATGTAGACAGTCTACCATAATGCAAGCATTAGTGGCAGCTTTCACGACCCGAACCCGTGACCTATCAGTCACACGAAAATAATTTTACTATTACTACAACGTTCCCTCTAAGTGTTTGGATATAAACATCACTTGATTTTGTTTTTTTGAATATTTAAAAGTTTGTATATAAGTGTGCCATAATGTGAACTGCAGCACGATAGGGCGAAGATGATTTTTTTTAATATATATAAATTATTGAATTTATTTAATATAATAAAAGATTTTAGTATAATAACAAAAATGATTCCAAATAACTTATAAGTTCAATCCCGAACTTATAAGTCTTATATTTTCTTGAAAATCTTTGTTAAAATTGTTCGTTCAGCCTATGTGGTTATCCAAAATATTATTATGAAGAAAGGACCCTATTTGGGCCAATAGATGATTGAATTGCAAGCACCACATTGAGCATACAATAGGTATAGTCAATTAATATGAAGATATTAAACATTTTATTATCGAATTGCGGTAAAATGGTAAATACTTTTTATTTTTTACTAGAGGTTTAGAGTTCGAGTCTTGAGAATAGAAATACATTTGGTAGAAAATATTTTACCACTAAATAGTACTTCCCGACAAAAATAATATGGATCACTCAAGTAATTTATAATAGCAAATTCAGAGTTGCTGCATATTAGAAAATTGAAACAAGAGATAAGCATGTGTTAAGAATCTGATTAGACCCGATACGTCGTAGTCACTGGGTTCGTAATTAACTTTCTTTTGTGCATGAATCAAAATACTAGCCAAACCAACCAAAAAATAAATAAATGAGAAGACACAAAAACCAAAAAAAAAATAAAATAATAATCTCACTTTTCAATTTTCCACTCTTTCAACCAAAAAGAAAAAGGCAAGACAAGGAATAAAATGAAATTGAGATCGTTCCACTCCTAATAAAAAGGTGCAGTTGCATTTTCCACCCTTACGAGATATTTGTGGTTCAAGTCCCAGGAATAAAATGATAGGGAGCTGTAAGCACGTGATTTTTGCCCTATGTGAACACGTGATTTTCGCCCTATATATGAATAATTTCCAAAAATTCCAACGAAATAACTTTTCTTTATTTTTACAATTTTTGTGCATTTCGGTGTCACTTCCTTGATAATTGTCGCATTTTAATTTATATAAAAATACAAAATATGCATTTTGCATTTAGGCTTTAGTTTTATATTTTAGTATCAATTAAGGGTTAATTTGTTTAGAACAAAACATGAAAAATCAAAAAATTAGTTCACTTTTGCATTTGTCATGAAATAATTTTTTTAAACAATTGTAGGAATTAATTAGTCTTTGTTTTGAAATAATTAGGATTTCATGTTAGTTTTACATCTTTATAAAAATTAGAAAAATTATAAAAAATTTAAAAATGAGAAAAAGGAAATAAAAGGGACAAGAAAATAAGAGTAAAATAGGTGGTCTTAAAAAGACCCAAAATCTAGGCCAAATCTGTTCTTAAAAACCCCAGCCCAAAATCAACACCCATTCCAACCCCAGCCCAAATCACCCCTCCTTGCCCATGACCCGACCCGCCCATATACCCACAGGAAATCCCTCAGTCAAACCCACAGACCCCTAATCCCAAATCACCCCTCCGCGACTGTTCTTCGTCTTTGAAGAACACGCAAGCCAGGCCTCAAATCCGTCCCAATAAATCGTCAAAATTCACGCGAGTGAGCATCAAAGCCTAACCCACGCGTCCCTCTACCTATCCTCTTGCTGTTGCTAACGGATTTTCTGATGCCAAGATTCGTTTCTATTCACTCGCTCGATTTTGAGAGGAGGCACGCGATTGGAAGGTCCTAGAGACGATTCGTTGGATGAATGTGAGGCATTGGATTGATTTCGTTCAATCCGAGCCCTACATTCATCCGGGGTTCGTTTCATAACAGGACTCAATCGGATTTTTTGCTGGGGGGAATTTTTGGAGCAGAAAACGGAGGGTTAAGAAACAATGGTCTTTCTTCTTCTTCTCGATTGAATTTTAGTTTGGTTCTAGTCTGTAAAGAAAATACAAAAAAAAAAATCTGTTGTGGTTTTGTGTTTAATCTGATTCGTTTCTTCGTTCTCTATATTTAAAATAAAAATTCAACAATTTCTGATTCTTCACTGATGAGCTTGGTTTTGAACTCGAAGGAAAATGAACTGAGGTCTACTAACTGTTCATGAGCTTCGATTTCGTCGACTCTGTTTCTATGGTTGCTCTACTGCTTCGCCATTGAACCTCGACGGAATTTGGAATCAAAGGGTGTATTGTCGAGTATATAGTTATTAAAAGAAGTTTAAAATTTCAGCTGTTGTCACTTCCAATTCAAAGGCTGGATTCGTTTGTATTGAAGTCCAAACGAAATTAATCAAAGCTTCGCGCAATCAGGTTCAATCTCTTTCTCTTTTCTTATGTCGGTTTGGATGTTGATTGAAAATACGATAAAAGCCATGGAAATCCATTTATAGAAGTAATTTTTTGACTAATTCCATTAGAGGTTAAATTTTGAAGTTGGCTTTCAGTTTCAGTTCGCGTTTGGTAGTGCTGTTTGACATATCGTTTGTTGTTCGAATCTTACACTCATTGTTCTGTTCTGCTCTGCCTCATGTATACTCACATGGTCTTTCGCTTGGTTATCCGACTCTCTGGTACGAGTGTTTCCGGTTATCTGTTCAGGGTCGTATGCCTGCTCATCGATGTCCAAATCGTTCTGTTCTTGTCTTCGAAACGAGCAGAGCATGCTGTGCTTGGATTTTGCCGTGATCAAAGTTTAAATCACATGATCCTAGGGAGGTTGAAATGGCTGCTATATTAAGATCACGCTTAGTATTTCACCTCTGCTCCGATATGTTTGATAGAAGTCAAATTAGTGTCTTAATTTATGAGATTTGAGACCATTCGCGTGTCTATCAATTGGTTAACTAGGTCTGTTCTTGAAAGTGAGACCTATGTGGTTTTTGATAAATCCCAGCTGGAATTTAACTGGTTACATGACCATTAAATGAATAGCGAGTCGATAATCTGCTCACTTATGCTTTTCATGACTATGTTGGTTTGGTTCCGTCAAGTTCGAGTCTGAAATAGTTTTTCCTATGTTGCCTCTCTGACCTGCTTGGATTAGCTTTCCCCACGCATTTGTTGTTGAAATCTGACCACCTCCATGATAAGGCAGTGGCGAACTTGAAGGTTTCAGGTGTCTTTCCTGCTTTGTGGACATTAGTTGCAGTTCCCCTTCTTTAATCGCTGCTCTCATTCTACTGCTTTAAGGCGTTTTATGCTCAACTAAAATAAGCATCAAGTGTATCGTAACTGTGCGAGCTATTTGCTGTGGTGTAGGAGTAACATAATGAACAGATTGTTTACATTAGCTTACATTTTATTGAGGTGCTCAACACACACTGATGAT